GGCTGTAAATATCGAGTAAAGCCAAAAATCCACTCAAAAAGGGTACTGGTAGTTACGATATTGGCGATTCTCGCCAGCCATCGCATGCTGGTCATATCGCGCCGAGCTACAGTCCCCAAGAAAAGGTCAGTTGTAACCAGGGTTGCCACTTTGGTAAATTGTTACCTGAATTGGTAGAAAAAATTTGGGTTGGTAAAAAGGTAAATTGTTTCTCATTTTGGTAGATTTTTGTTGAACTTTCCAGATTTATTTTTCGTAGTTATCTTTATATTATAAATTTCTTCTGCATAGTTTTTATATACTTACATAAGTATACATTTTTATTGATATAAGGCGAACATATCCATTCAAAACTCATTTTACTGGAATCCCGAGGAGCTTTTGATTGCCTAAATATTTTAAATGATTATTTAAATACATATAAAGAAACAAGTAAGAAAGTCTAAGTTCGGGCGAAGCCGAACATTAAATACCCGGCGCAATTATTAAATATATGTTTTCCACCTTTCCGAAAGCTACCGCTACACGATAAGCCGGGGTGTATACATTTTAAGTAAATTAGCGTCCTTAAATTTCGAAATATTGCAGTTTCAAGCATTTCTGAAATATACCGTTATATGAAAAGCGATCGTAATTTTAGTCAGATTTCAATAATTTTCACCGCTTTGCTTTTATGTGGCAAGCACAATAACCATACCGAGTTTGGTTCAAATTGCTAGAACGGTTAGCGAGATACATATATGTGATCATAAGTGGCCGGTGCCACGCCCATTTTCCAAAATTGTATCATAAGCGTATTTCTTGGTAAAAAATTGTTGCAACCATCAATTTTGAATAAATTAGCTTTAATATTTACTGATTTATCGAGGATTTCGTATTTTTCTAAATTACCGTTATATGGGATGTGGGCGTGGTTATTGTCCGATTTTAAAAATTTTCGGCCATTTGGTATGTTGTAGCAGGACCAACAACTGTCCCAAGTTTGGAAGAAATTGGTGCAGCGGTTACCAAGATATACACATGTAACCATAAGTAGGCGTGGCTACGCCCATTTGCCAAAATTTTTTAATATTCTTATTTTTCGTCTAAAACTCATTGTAAATGTCAATTTTGAGTGAATTATCTTCAGTAGTTACTAAAATATAGCACTTTTCGTATTTCTGAAAATTACCGTTATATGGGAGGTAGGCGTGGTTATTGTCCGATTTCGCCCATTTTCAATACCATCCGTCCTATGCCCAAAATAAGTCCACGTACCAAGTTTCGTTAAGATATCTCAATTTTTACTCGAGTTATCGTGTGCACAGACGGACGGACGGACGGACGGACGGACGGACGGACAGACAGTCACCGCTTAATCGATTTCTCTTTTCATTCTGATCATTTATGTATACTTTTGTCTATATTTATCTCGATTCGTTTTGCCTGTTACAAACAACCGTTATGTGAACAAAGTTATAATACCCTTGTGCACAAGTGCGCTCGGGTATAAAAATTTACAGGTATGTAATGACGCACTATGATTGTTCGCAAAAAAATTAAATCAACGCAATTTTTTATCAATAGAAATTGTTGAATCAAAAAAAAAAACTCAAAAGTCTGGCGACAAAAAAAAACAACGGGAAGCACATAGTGAGCTATACTCAAGTATTATTTGCTTTAAAACTCGATACCTTAAATTGTTCTAAAAATTCAGAGTAAAAAATTCGAAATTTGGACGAAAATTTTTTGAATTTTTCTAAATGTTGTATGTATATAGTTTTAATCCTTAATTTTTATGGATTTAGTTAAAGCAACAAAAACAAATTGTTCTTGGAAAAGATTGCGAATAATAAAAAAATCACCAAGTGCCTTTTTAAGTCACTGTATTTGTCTATAACAACTTGAGTTGAAGTTTTTCAAATTATGAAGTTTCATTGTTGCCTTTAGTTTCAAGACTCAAATACCGTATAATTAGTTAAATAAAAAGTTCCTTTAAAACAATTTTAATTCTTATTGAAATAACTAAAAATATAAAAAATATCGCTTTAATTAAAGTAAATAAAAAAATAACAAAACTAGTTTTTATTTAAATAACTTTAAAAAATTTATTGGTAGATATTTTCCAGATTTGGTAGATTTTTCTCAAGTGGATGGTAAATTTTTTTTTTCGTCAGTGGCAACCCTGGTTGTAACGCTGCGTGGCGTCTGCTGGTAGCAGAGAAAGCTCATCGCTCGCTGCCAATTGTTGCCATTGTTTGTGCATCGAGGCGCATTTATGTTCAACATTACCACAAAAAGCAAACCATCAATGACAACTAGTTGAGCCTCTGCGGCGTCAGATGTCGAGTAAACTGAAAGGCAATTCGTAGCAGAGCACAAAATAGGATGCAAACTGTGTGAGGGTGAGGGTGTGTATAATGGAGTAATTTCAAATGTATTGGAAATGCTTGTGGCGGTAGGTAATTTTTTACTCAAACGCCGAGAGCAACGATATGCATACGTACGTACATACATACATAACTATGGCAATGAGTACTCTGACTTTGACTTTGAATCAGGCGCTACAAAAGGATTCACAACAAAGTGCTAACTAGTAGACATACCCCGCCGGCAATTTTAATGACGTCCGAGTCGGAATCAAGTTTTCTTAGCCCTCAACTGACTACGTGGCAGATTGCCTCCTGTGAGACGTATGTATCCTGACCGCCCAACAAAGAAAAAATTAAAATGAGTGTGCCCGTTCCCCGCTGCAGATGAGATATTCCCTTGAACTATTTACTAATCGTTGCATAATCCGGATTTTGCAAATTTATTTTTGGATTGTCTACAAACAAAACCTGACAAGAGATGACGGAAATCCGTTCCAAAATCAATCAGAAATAAAAGTTGTTTAACATAATAGTAAAAAATTATTCAAAGTTCAAAATGCATTTCTTGAAAATTTCAGTATTTTTACGATTAGTTGGAGCTATTGAGCCAAAAATTGTTATAAGATTTGCTTTTAAAACTTTTTAGATTTTAGATTTAAAAACTGCTTATCCTCATCTTTACCCTGATCTTAAAGTCTTTACTTTAATTTCTATTTTCTTCTTAGCCTTTATCCCTTCCTTCATCAGCATGCTCAGCTTTAATTTGATCCTTATATAAATCGTAATCTCAATCTTATGCTTAGACTGCTGCTTAACACGTGTCTTCGGCAGCAAAAACTTCCATTGTATTCGCCATGTTGTTTACTCAATTCACCACTGTCGCCGAAGTAGTTTCACTTCAAAAAATATTCTGCGCCGAGCGCCTCTTTATAACAGCCCTATTCCGGTTTTGCAATAGAATGACAATTGATCATCCTTCATTGTCGTGATTTTGTCATTGTCGTTGCACGTTGCTATTCCTAACAAAAAATGACAAGCGAAAAGCTTTTGTCAACTTACCATGCATGGTGAAAAGTTCATTGTTGTAGAAACAGCTGGTCAACGCTTTTATTTGCAAAAAATATGAGCAGTGAAACACCAGAAAAGTGAGTATTTGTGTGAAATAGATAAATTCGTATATTTATAACATTTATAAACATTTTAGACGTGCAAAATATGAGCGGACGACGCAGGAGCAGCTGCAATTTTATGTGCAGTTTTGTAGGGAGCATCCGTTGCTGCTCGTCTTCCACAAGCACGGCTGCGCAAATAACTAAAATTTGTGCTGCCATTGAAATTAGTTGATTTTTATATTTTTTTCACGAATTTATTAAATCGTCGCACTTTTTAAACCAACACAAACATATGTTTTTGCCTTGTCACCTGCCCAAAAGGTCATGACAATAAAAATGACAATTGGCATGATTCGAGCTTTTGAATTTTGCTGCGAATACCAAAAAGCTGCAATTGTCATTTTTATATCAATTGTCATCGCGGTGAGTTTTGTCAGTGTGGCGGAATAGGGCTGTAAATCTTAGGCAAGTAATACCAACCAATCAAAGGTAGTCTAACTGCACGCCAAATGTTTTGTTGCTACTAACAGCCGTATTCCCAAGCCAATGACAATACTCAGCACTATTCAGCCCTATTCCTACGCCAATGACAAAACTCAATGACTAAATATTGTCTTTACTACAGTGCCAAATACTACGCCGCAAATATATTTTAAGCGTTCTAATGGTGACAACTACTGCGCCTAAAACTATGGAGCGCATAAAGTTAAGTTTCTATAGCCTAGTTTTAGGCGCAGTTGATATGACAATAGTCAATAGATGAATTTTGTCGTTGGTGTGGGAATAGGGTTTTAATACTCTGAAATCTTAAATATGATTTATTCTCAAGTAGTGATTTATTCGCAAGCAGTTTCTGCGCATCTCAGAAACGTTGTAAGACGCCGAGTGATCTCCCATGGGCTGCCGAGGATAAGTGACATAACTAAACTCTTGCTGGCAGGGGCATTTATTTTTTTAAACTTAGCTTTTCAAATTTTTAAAACAATAACATTAGTTTAGTTTTGCAATCATTGGATATACATACATATATGTAAATTTATAAATATCACGAATATTGAATAGATCTTTAATTCTATGTTTACATATTATAGTTTACTCGTATTTAAATAAATTGGTTTTCTTTAAACCTTTTATTTAGTTTTGGTTTTGCTAGGTCGACTGGGTGGTTCTTTTGGATCCATCCAATGCCAATTTTTCCAGAATATACATTTCTGTTCCTCCTCAGAGTAAAGTTTGTTCGGTTCGCAGCGCACAGCTTTGGCTGGCTCTCCTTGCAAGCCGCATTGCCAATATGAGGTGGGATCTTCGAAATTTCGAAATCGTTGATTAACTTCAGCCGAAGTTTTGCAGCCTGGTTCACCGTTATCCTCAATGCGCACCATTTTCTATGGGTTCAGCTGAAAAAAATTAGTAAGAGGAAATATGTTTATTGAAAAAAATAGGAGTAGAATAATTGAAGTTTGTAAAAGTTTTTTGTGTTTTATAAAAAAAATGGGGCCAAAAAAAATCTTAGTTTTTTACTATCTTTAGAGAGGAGCTGCAAATTCCATTCCACAAATGCGATAAAAAGAGGCAGAATGCCGATAATGTAAATATGGTAAATACCTTTTAGCAATTTTGGCTACTTCTCTTTGTTTAAAAAATATTTATTATTTTTTTTATGAAAATATAGCTAGCTTTAAAAAAAAACATGTAAATCAAAATTTAAAACTTTGTAATCAAAATTTTAAACCTTTTGATCAAATTTTTAGAATTTGTATGCAATTTTTTAGGCCATAAAGTTTAGTATAATAAGGTGCAAGTTTGAGGTAGCTAGGGTTTTCCGTTGATTTTTGACAATTTTTTCGCACATTTTCTTCTAAGTAAAGCATATGTGTGAATACTTTAAACAATTTTATGCACAGAAAGCTAAGGAAAAGTGAAATCATAAAAGCCGTAATCCACTAAAACATACCAGAGTTACAAGCTACCTTATATTTAGGTGTAAATATTCCGGCAGCACAAAAATAGTATTCGCTTTTTTATTTTTTATTTTATTTTTTTTTTTAAGAAAGTATATGTTCCTTCATTGCTATACCTATGTAGGTACATCCTTTAAAAATACAAAATAAACAAGCAATAAATGTTGTTTGCAGTAGAAAAGCCGCTGATAGTATAAGCTGCTTCTGCACATTGCAAATAAACATACAAGTAAAATGTACTTACATTCATACATATGTACATATGTACCACCATTCAATATTACACGGTACAAAAAGCTGTAAACGGAAAATTGTATTTGCTTTAGCTGTTTATCGCCTGCGTCGCAAATCTAAAGCATCACCTGGCAGAACAACAATCACGCCGCGCCGGCTCAGCTTTATCGTTATCGATATAAACAAGCAAACAAAGGCGACAATCTTTTACGCTAAGCAAAAAGTAAATATGTATGGGGATATACATCAGGGTTGTTGCGAATATTCGCATTCGCATTCGCAACCGGTGAGCTTCCGCATTAATTTTAACATTCGCATTCGCAAAAATCAATGCGGATCTTTTTGGAATTAATCATAGGTTTGAAATTACAAAGCATTTAAAATAAAACCTGACGTCATAGAGAAAAAATAAAAACGCCACTTTAAATAAAAAAGTAGGTTTCAAATGGTGGTTTTTATTTGTTATTTATTCAAAGTCAAACATTATAGAACCAATTTTTTCGATTTCAATTTTAAATATTTTACGGCGCAGAAGGACGCGTAAACTTATTTTCGCGGTGAACTATGTTTGCGGGTGCAATAGTATGTAAATTCCCTAAAGAGATTTGGGAAATGATGCTGAATGACAGCCGTTGGCCAAGTGAAAATCTATGATTACGCGTCTTTCTTTGCCGAAGTTTTTATTTAACGCCATTTTTCGTAAATTTTTTTATGCGTCTTTTTTCGCCGTCTAAACACTGGCGCGCCTTTATTCGTGTCTAGTGACAATAACCTTGACGGACGCTGAATTAAATTTAACAAAACAAAAAAAATTGTTAAAAAAATAAGTAAAATATGTAAGTTTATAAAAATTAAATTGAATAAAGACCAAATATCAAGGACCGAACATAACACTTATTTTTTTTTAAGTCACCTTAGCCAAATATTTTTAAGTTTGAAACAAAAGTCCTTTCGTGATAATTAACAAACCGCTTATCCAAATTAAACAAAGCTGTTTAAGTCCTCTTTCTTTTGATACAAAACTTGTTTAATTTGGATAAGCGGTTTGTTCATTATCAGAAAATGACTTTTATTTCAAACTTAATAAATATTTGGCCAAGGTAACTGTTAGTTTCGGTCCCTGCAAAATATGTATCTTTCTTTTTAAAAGAATACAATCTCAAAGTAAAAGAAAATTAAATTAAAAATACAATTAAAGATTTACAAAAAAAAATAAAAATAAAAAAGTTCCTGGAAATTTTATGAAATTAATACAAAATATTGTTCTTTTTGCTATGTACATCTCCATTTGGAACACACGCTCAAATGCGTTCATACAAAGGAGCTTTTCACCATGAAGGTGGGCTAGGGGGCTTTTTTTGTAAGACTTTCATGTCAGAATAAAAAATATCTTGTCTACTATATTTAAATTGTCTTACAAATGACTTGCAGCTATCTTATCTGGGGTAAAAGTTAACAACAATTTAACGAAACTTAGTACCAACGGTGACTTTGATCCTAAATAGATAGGTACTATTTAAAATGAACGAAATCGGATGAAATCAGCATTTTGAAAAGTTTTAAAGCTGCTGATTCCACAAGGCTAGCATTCAATTGAATGCTTTTAAAAGTATTTAGACCAACGTTTGCACAACACTATGTACTCCATACCATCACTAGCTCCGACTACCAACATGCAATTTTATATTCAAATTAATTTAAAAGTAATTCAAAGTGAAAAGTAATATATAGCTAGCATAACGTTCAACCAAAACCGTGAGCGTGCTGCAAATGGGCAACTTGGATAGCCCCTCATACCATATATAAAAATATATATATGTATGTATGTAACACGCCCACACACACACACACCCAGGCTGCACATCACCTATGTATGTATTCCCTCTTATCCTTCTACTCGCTATGCACGTACATACATTAAAACCGTTAGTTGTCAAATTGTTGTTGTGACCAAAAAAACCGCTACTCAGACGACTGACTCCCATCTCCATTTCAGCTACTTTTCAGAACCGTCTTTGCAATTACTCAAGTGAGCAAACTATTTACCATGTTTCGGTATAGCTTAAGGCACTAAACCGCTATGGCGTGCACGGATTGATGGCGTTACCACGCACATACATATATATACATATGTAGTATGTGTGTACAATGTACACTGAGAGAAAAATTTGTTAATATTACCAAATTCAAACTTGAAAAGGAATCAATGTGATTTTTGGTTAATATTAACAATGCCTTGGTTGATGTTTT